CAAGGAGATAAAAGAAAACTAGGCGATTTTCCTGCTCTAGATCTAATTCTTTATAATTGCATTGTAATTAATTTCCCCGTACCTTATCTTGACAGGGAAACCAGCATTGAAAAGAGGTTGTATTCCAGGTGTCCCAGTCAAATTTCAGAGACAACAAAGGCATCTGGGACGGGCCACAGGCTGGTTTATTGTTTACCGCGTGGCCCCTCTGGATATATGCCACAGGGGCGTGTTGAGAGAAACCCAGTCCTGCTGTGAACACCGTGTGTCCTCCACCCAAGCTTACATGAAGCACCTCAACTTTCCCCTTTGCTTTTCTGTGAGTTCCCTGTGGTTACTATACTTTTGGGGGTGACAGAGACTCCCCTTGGCGCAGTCACCTGCACGGTGAGGAAGGAGCGAGGGGAGGAGATGGAACTGTGTTATATATACACCACTTCTGAGCTGGCCATTTGGCTGTCCATGAGAGGCAACGGACTCTGAAATGACTTTAGCAAAGAGAACGTGCTTCGTTTTCTCACAGGCACATCTCGCTGGCGGAGAGCGCACACCACAGATCACGGCCACGGTCGCAGGAAGATCTCTCGGACAGCTTGTTCTAATTAATACTGTAATGCGCTCATATGTGGTAAAGATAATTTTAAATCACTCGCGTTCTCTGTAGATTTATAACATATTGATACCGAACATTATTTTACCTAGCTATAAAGTATGTCGAGTCTCACTCTGTCCTCCAAGAAAACAAATTACCCAAGCAATTAAACCCTCACTTCTCCGTGCCAGCCAGTGATGGAAACTTCCGGGGTCAGTGGAAAGTTTCCATCAGACTCAGAATGCGTTTTCCGAAGAATCTATTTGTCTTGTTAAGACAATGTCTTCAGGCCTGTTATCTAAAAGACATAAAAGAAAAACGGACCCTGTGCAGAACAGGCTGCTTTCTCGGAAGCCGGAGCAAATAACTCATATTTTTCCCAAAGCAGGGCACTACTGATATGTGGTGAATATTGCTAACATTTCTGGTACATTTCGGGGGCCGAGAAAAGAGAATAAGGAGTCAGAGGAGACGTGACTAAGACTTGACTTCAGGAAAAGAGGGAGATGAAAACTAAAGCCATGGAGAAATCGTATCTCTGAGCAAGGGATTGTACCCATGCTTGGCTCATAGCTTACAGTGCTCTGGGCACTTAACTGGGCTCTGCCTCCAGTGCCCATGTTGGGGAGAGGCTTGCGGGGAGGAACTCCGGAGTGAAAAAGTGATGCAATACTGCATGCTGTACATGCAGCCATTAGCGGACTAGCTCCGCTGGCCTCCAGTGAAATGGTTGTCTGAACTCACTGATGGCGGGGAGCAGGGGAGAGCAGGACTGTCTGTGTGATCAAGCTGGGCTTAGGAGCATTGGCAGCAGGGCTCGCTGTAGCATCCTGCCTCTGTAGCGCCCCCTCCTTTTTTTCTGAGAAATAGTTTGTCAGAATGTTCAGCAGCTCTGGGCTCAGCAGGAGAGAGGGTCCTGATGGGAAGAAACCCCCCTCACGTGTCCCCCAAGAACAGCAGCGTGCAGAACCCCGTTGTATTCACTCAGGATACCTTGATGTGTGACTCAGACACTGCCAGAAAGATCAGAACAATCGAATCACCCAGAAACTTCGATGAGTTTTATTTTTGTCACTATGATCGTCGTTGTTGTTGTTATTATTATTATTATTATTATTTTGGTTTGGGGGCCACATCTAGCAGTGCTCAGGGTTTATCCCTGGTTCTCTGGTCAGTGCTCAGAGACCATAAGTGGTGCCGGGCATTGAACCCAGGTCAACCCATGTAAGGCAAATGCCTTAACCCCTGAACTCTCTGTCTGTCTGTCTGTCTGTCTGTCTCTCTCTCTCTCTCTCTCTCTCTCTCTCTCTCTCTCTCTCGTGCCAGCTCTGGCTTTATGGGGTTTGTTTGGGGGTGTATTTAGGGTTTCAAGGGAGTTGAGGACCAAGTTGCCTGATGTCTGCCACTTAATTACAAATCATCGTGTCCCCAAATGCACGTGCCGTGTGTGTATCTGTGCGACACACGTGGAGCAAGCCTGAACTAGGGCAGCACCCTCCCATTGATGAATCCCAGCGCCTAAACTCTCTGACATATTTCTCTAGGTTTGAAAACTTATTACGTAAAAGGGGGAGGGGGGAAATCTATAAATGTAAGCACAAGCTGCTTTGATTATTTCGGGCCGGGAAGAGGGGAGGCCATATGGAGGAGCCGATCAGGAGAGAACGAGGATTTTCAGACCCGAACGGAAGTGAAAGGGGGAGAGGCTGGCCAGGGAAAGGCAACAGCTGGACACGCAAGAGCAGGCCTTTGGGCAGTTCTGGAGTTGTCCTGCTGCCCTTCCAGAGCACCTGCCCCCACTCTCCTTACCTGGCAGGCCAAGGGGCAAGGTGCCCGACACCTTGTCACTGCTGTGAGCATCCAGCCTCCAGGGCCAGGAGCCTGTAGACTCTGGAAGCAGGAGGTGGGGTGGTAGGAGGTGAACTTGGCATCCGAAAGGGCATCTCCACATTGACCTGAAGCCTCAACTGTTCGACCGTGCAGAGCTAAGAGCTTACAATCTGCCCTCTCTGCATCCAGCCCGACCCGAGCTTCCAGCGGCTGCTTTTTAATCCTCAGCTTGTCCAGCTCCGGCGCACGAGTAATAGTTGGCATGTCGCCTTGTCTGCTTCCCGGGTACCCACCCAAGTCCTCAGACTCACTTCTCACGGGCTCTGGAGTGGGTCGCGGTGGAAGGCGTGCTGTGCCCTGATTCAGCGTTAGCAGACGCGGCACTGCCCAGCTAGCTGCCCCTTAGGACGGCTCACCATGCCGAGATGCCACATTTAATTTCACATGAAGGGGGCGCACCCACGCCTGTAGTGCTGGCCTGCTGGCCTCCCTGCGTTGCTGCCCCCTGTCCTCCCAGAAGCCTTCTCTGTGGCTGTTCCTTTCTTCCTTCTGGTCACTCCTCCTTTGTCAGTGCTCAGCCTTCGTGTGAAATCGGATGGGTGTTAGGAGCAAACTCTTCCTTCCGCTTGGCGCATCTCACCATTCCCGAGATCTTCTGACCCAGTCGTCATCTCCGTAACTCTGATGCGCAGCAGACACAGAAAGCCTTAGGAAGGTAAAGTAAAGTAAAAGTAAAGACCCTCCCGTTGATCGGCGATTTGCTCGAGCGGGCCCAGTAACGTCTCCATTGGAGACTTTGTTGTTACTGTGTCTGGCATATCGAATACTCTCGGTAGCTTGCCGGGCTCTCTGAGAGGGGTGGAGGAATCGAACTCGGGTCGGCCATGTTGGCCGCTTGTAAGGCGAACGCCCTACCCGCTGTGCTACTGGGCCCTTAGGAAGGTATTTTATGTAATTAGTATGTTTGCTAAGAGCCGTGTGATATTCATAAACTTAACGATCTTTGCCATGATGGCACCGAAACGAAACGAAGGTGTCAGAAAATCAGATTCTGATCAATGAAGCATATATTTCTATTTCCCCTCCCCTCTCACGCTGTAAAGTGACGGGGAGACATTAATCTCCGAAAGTCACGGTGCTGAAATATATCGCCAATAAATGATAGAATTATAAAAGTGGCATCTTTATTGCGTTTCCATTTTACAGAGCATTGTCACCTGGAATGTTGGCAGAGACGGTCCAATAAATCACCCCGGCCTGTTTACAGAGCCCCCCTGTGAGCAGGAGGGGTGGGGGGTATGCAGGGAACTGAGGGCTCCCCTTTCTTCGTGCCTTCATGTTTGTACTAATTGTTTGGAATAAAACAGGTCCTCGAGGGGAGGCTGGAGGTTTCCCCTTGCATCGAGCATACGCTGCCTTGTCTGGGTACCCGTGGTGGTCCTAGTGAAAATGTCCAATGCTTCCCCCCACTCCGCCCCAGATATTCCACTATCACTCTCTCCATCAAAAGCAAAGCCCGGGGCTGGAGAAATAGCTCGGAGTGTAGGGAGCTTGCCTGCATGCCGTGGACCCAGAGTCAGTCCTTGGCGCTGTGTATGGCTCCCCAAGGACCACCAAGTCTCACTCCCGAGCACCGAGCCAAGAACAAGCTCTGAGCACCACCCGTGAGGTCCAAACAGCCCAGAGACTCAAGGCTGGGGTTCAAAGAATTGTTAAGTGCCAGACACATAGGAAAGAGGTTTCACTTGTCAGTGCTTCTGAGTTAAGTTAGTTCTTTGTAGCCCTGGACGTGTGAAGTGACTCGGAAGGAGCCCCCGATGTGCAGATAAGTCCCCCCCCACGTAACCTGGGTGGTGACTTTGGAGTCAGCGTGTGTCACAGCAGAGAGCACAAATGAACCTCCAAGACCTTCCTGTGCCCGGGTCCAGCACACACCCTCGGGACTCTTGGCCTCCCCCACGCGACCCTCCTCAACTTCTTCCCTGGAAACACGGTCACTGCCCAGCTCCTTGACCTGAGACATGGGCTGCTTGCTCCCAGAGGCCCGCGTTTAAGGCATCTGCACGGTCAGGCCTCCAGGAGGGAACTGAGGCTCCACGGTGCTTTCCTTTCCCTCTCATTTCCTCCCTGGAACCAAGTACCAGGGGTGTCTCTGCCGCCCCATCCTGGGATGCCCATGGCCAGCCCTGCTGTCCTGGAGCAGGCCACAGGGCTGTTGGCGCGCAGCAGAGATTTCCATTCTGCGAGACACTATAACTGAATGAGGGGCTGGAGTGATAGCACAGCGGGTAGAGCATTTGCCTTGCACGCGACTGACCCGGGTTCGATTCCCAGCATTCCATATGGTCCCCTGAGCACTGCCAGGAGTGATTTCTGAGTGCAGAGCCAGGAGTAGCCCCTGAGCATCGCCAGGTGTGACCCCAAAAGCAAAAAATAAATAAATAAAAATAAAATCGAACCGAATGAAACGGACACGTGCTGTGGGGAATGTTTCTTTCACCCAGGCCCAAGCAAAACCCGTTGGAAAGGTTTCAGCTAGAGCTCCCCTGTGAGTCATTTCCTCTGCTTCCTCCCACAGGCCGGCCGCCCTACAACAGCTTCTACGTCTTCTGCAAAGGGCCCTGCCAGAGAGTGCAGCCCGGGAAGCTGAGGGTGCAGTGCGGGACCTGCCACCAGGCCACGCTCACCCTGGCCCAGGTAAGACGCGCGGCTTGGACCCGCTCTGCAGGGCAGAGCCCAGTGTCTCTCCCAAGGCGCCATGGTGGTTCCTGTCTGCCTGCGTCCGCCTCAAGGGGCCTGAGCTCTGGCAGACGGGAGCCTTATTGGGAGCTGCTGGAGGGGGGCAGTTGGGCAGTGTGTGGCCTACTAGCCTGGTACTGCTAGGGGCCATTGCTCTCCTCGGCCCAGCCAGCCTCGCTGCCCCTCCAGCCCACCTCCGCCCTGCTGTGCTCACACGCCTCATTCAAACTGGCACCGCGCTGGGGACCTGAGAGTCTCCGTCTCTTCAGAGTCTCTCAGGGGTGTTTGTTGCTGAGCACTGTTGGCTCAGCATGGGCGCCAGGATCCCTGGCATTTGGCTGTGTTGGGAGGGTCCCCTAACAGTTGCCGGGGGCTGTTCCGTTATCAGACTCGCTCTCTCTGCCCTGTGAGAATCTGGGGTCCAGTGACCTCGATGGACCAGAAGGGAGGATGGGGGAGAGGTGGGAGGGTTGTCAGTGGCAGTGTGGAGGAGGCCGACCTCAGCTCTGCTGGCTCAGCCTTTTGCCGGAGATGCTCGTCCCCAAGGCGACGTGACGGGGGCCTGAATGATAGAATAGCAGGTGGGCCACTAACCTCGTATGCCTCTGATGCGGGTTCAACCTCCCCCACCCCGCATACGCCCCCACCCTAGCCCGGCCATTGGTACCTGAATGAGTCCTGAGCATCTCCAGGTGTGAGCCAAAACTCAAAAGTCAATAAATCAAAATGCCGCCTGCTCACTTGGCCCCCGTAAACACACACGCAGTCGGCACATTAGCCAAGTTCTAGAGACCGCCTTGAACTGTCGACCTGCTTCCATATTCCAGACGGGAATGTTGGCTGAGAATACTGGGCCTGTTCATCTGCTCCAAGAGCAAAATCCAAAGCTTTGTCTTTCTTGGGACAAGGAGCCGACTAGTTAGCCCGCATTTACCCTTGACACGGGGTAACTTTCTATGGGAGATTTCAAGTTTATTTGCACCCGAAGAGAAATTCTTTCCCCTATGCTGAACCTTTGAGTAATGTGGAAAGTACATTTGGTGATGTTTTACTGATTGTTACCTGTTCCGGAATGTATTTCATCATTTCCAGACAGTTTGGGAATTTTCACTGGTGTTTTAAGAGCCAGAATGGAATGGCCGCCTGGTCCAGTTCCTAACCATCACGGTGCAGCCATGGAGCAGACAGCACTGGCCTGCGCTGGCAGTGATCATGGCCAGTTGGGTACTCTGGGGTGGTGTGGCACTTAGAGGTCACTTATGTGTCCAGCCATGTTTGTCTAAGGCAGAGCTCCTAGGAGCAAGTGTGCCTGAGCATTTGTGTCCACTGGCCTGTCAATGACGGTTGGAGGAATCATTTGGGATGGAAGACGTGTGCTGAAAGATAAAGGACCAAACATGATGGCCTCTCAGTATCTGCACTGTAAACCATAATTCCCAAAAGTAGAGAGGGAGTGTGGGGGAAATTGTCTGCCATGGAGGCAGGGGGAGGGGTTGGAAGGGAGGTGGGGAGGGATATTGGGAACATTGGTGGAGGGATGGATGTTAGATCATTGTATGACTGAAACTCAAGCATGAAAGTTTTGTAACTATATCTCATGGTGATTCAATAAAAAAAAGACAAAAGATTAAAAAAAAGTGATTGGTGGATCATGCCTGCCGGTCCCATATGCAGGGGTCCTTGGTGTTCTGTCACAGCTGTGGGCTTGGGGAGCTGGACAAGGACCTCGCTGACCCCAAGGGAGGGATTTGCATGTGGAGTTAACAGGTGTTCCTGTTCTGAACTGCACCAGGGTTCCAACAGACACAGTGTCCTGCGGCCAGGATGAGGACATGGGTCTCTTTGTGGCCAGGTACCCATCCTGGACAGAGCTGGCCTACCTGCACCTTGGTGGGACCTGCATAGATAACGGAAACCCAGAGATGAACCCAGCCACACCCGGGAGCTTTATCGACCCTGTGCCTTCCAGGGTCCTTGCTAGGAATGTCTCGATTTGTCAATGGTATGCTTGGGGATTTATTTCTAATTCTGGGCTCCATGTCAATTGGATGTCACGGCCACAAGCTGCTTCTGATTGTCATACATAACGCGCCACGGTGTTATGGCTTCAGTGTTTCTGATTCAATCTGATTCCCTCCATATGTGGCCCGGGAGGGCGGGCAGACACTTCTGTCCTGGCAAGGGGAAGCGACGTCTCAATTTTGGTTGACCTTGAGGGTGAGTTAGAAATCGGCTTGGACCCGAGGCTCTGCCCTTTCTCCGACTGAAATTATCTTTGTTCTTTCATGGTGCCCTTGACCGAGGTGTTCCCAAGAGTCTGTGGAAAAATGAGCTCACACAGTGGCAGAGGAGAGCGGCTGATTAGAAACCCTAGCATGTCTCACACTGCACCCGCCCCCCACACACTGTCCTCATCGGGGTGGGCATAAAGGCCACAGTCGGGGATGCAGTGGGGAGACGGTTTGTGTCCTACACGTATTTTTTCTGATTTTCCTGGAATCAAAGAATACATAATTTAATATCACCAATGCCATCACTGTTCCCTACATTCGTCTGATGATGACTCAGTCAGATCCTTATAACCCTTCATTTTTTTAAAAAAAGTTTTCTTTCAGGAAAGTTAGCAGAGAACAAAAGCGGATGAAACCTGCCCCTGTAGTTGTGGGCTCTGCACTGTTTCAGAAGCTGCTGCTACGGGGTCCTGTGTGTGGCTATTGGCTGGGTGCTGACACCCCCTGCCCCCAGGGCTGGTGCTCTGAGGGCCTTGGTCTGTGCTGATTCAGTGTGGCTCGGACACATTCTAGCTGGGACTTGGGGAAGGTGCTTAATGTCTTTCTGCCTCAGTTTCCTGGCTGCAAAATGGAAGTGAAATGTCGTTCAAGTTATTGTGTCGAAGTGATTTAACTGACAAAAAAAAGAAAAAGTACTGAACCAAGGGTCCAGCGTGTAATCACACCTGGGGAACTTTCCCTCTTCCTGTTTCTGCTTCTGGGGAGCTCTTCCCCCTAAAAGAGCATCAGGCAGCTGCTGAAACCCTCAACAGCTGGGCCTCCTGGAACGCCTCTGTCTCATGCACTCAGACTGTGGCTCCATCCTACGTGCGTCTTGGGCGTCCACATGTCTCTCTCTCCCTCTCGCTTCTCTCTCTCTTCTCTCTCTTTCTCTCTCTCTTTTTCTCTCTCCCTTTTCCCTCTCTTCTCTCTCCTTTCTCTCGCTCTCTCCTTCTCTCTCTCTCTCTCTCTCTCTCTCTCTCTCTCTCTCTCTCTCTCTCTCTCTCTCGCTCACTGTCTCTCACTCTTGCTCTCTCCTGTTCTCAGTTTCTTCCTGTGAAACTGAGTCAGGAGGCAACTCACCGCTGCAGCCAGGAACTCTGGGTACGTCACCCCTCCCCACAATCACCATAATTACTTTATCTCAAAAAGAACTTTATCTTTGCCACTCTAATGAGATACTCTGCCTCGGAATAACATTAAAGCTAAAAGGTTTCTGATGAGAAATGGTGCAATAAATAGAGGAAGATGTAAAATGCCTGGCATGATGGATTTTATTTAAAATTAGTTTATAGATTAGGGACAATTTATGGGAGGAAAGAAATATCGTCTAAATGTGTAATCATTCCTAAACTTAATATTTGTTACAGATTAATTGTTGGTCCAGTCTCCCCCTCTTCATCCCAACAGCTGCTCTCTCATGCCTGACTCACCCTGGGGTCTGCCTGAGCGTCCCTAGGACTAAGGGTGGGCTTCATCCTGCTCATTGATTTCATCCTTGGGCATTGCTGCAGTTTGGAGACCTTTATGGGAGGAGTCATCGCAAATTAGGTCTGTGTTTTTGTTTTGTTTTGCTTTTGTTTGGGGGTTCACTCCTGGCTCTGCGCTCAGGGATCACTCCTGGCAAAGCTCAGGGAACCCTAGGGGGTGACGGACTTTGGTCTCTGAGTCCCTGCTTGCTGGCAAGCGCCCACCCACTGTATCTGTCTGGCTCCAGTAGTTTTACATTTTAGAACTGATTCTGCTTAGACCCAGTTTATGTGCCGATGTTAGGCCAACAGGGAAACCAGTCTGTGTGTGCCTGGCGCCTGCGGCCGGACTGGAGGAACAAACACGGCAGATCTGGCTCTGGGGTCACTTCTGCCTCCTTGTCTGCCTTTAGTCCAGTGGGGAGAGTTCGCCGGCCTTGGGGGCTCATCCCCATGTCCTCTCCGCAGCCCCCATACCCCAAGAGTGCCACCCCAGGTGCCAGTCGCCTGGCAGGAAAACACGAGCACAGGGTCGAAGGCTCATCTTCTTTCTGACTTTCCAAACCAGTTCCTGGAACAGAGTCAGACTCTGGTGAAGGGCACACACATACACAAATAATAATGATTTAAAAAAAAAATTGAAGTGTAGCATTTTATATGAAAATGTTATTTATTCTTGCTAGTTTATATGGAGGTTGTATATGACTTACAATTCTAAATATGAAGTGGCCTTAAATTTAGTTGCTCTAAACCACTCCAGGGCATCAATGTCAGATGCAATGAGTGATTTAAAATTATAATAATTGTATTAAGTGTTTCTACAGTCTTTTCTCTAATGCTGTAGTTTCACTGATCCATTCCCAAGTTTCAGACCTATAGGTAATCTTCAACATCAGATGATCTCCAAAGGGCTCGCTCCCCTCTCTTTCTCTCTCTTTCTCTCTCACACCTTTATATACCCCAAAAGAGAAAAAAAAAATTATCTCCAATGACTACAACTTAATTTGATCTTTTTTTTTTTTACTTATTTTTACCAAATCTGTTCTCTTTTTTTTTTTACCAAACCTTCAAATTATGAGACTGACACTCTGCCTACTACACTAAGAAAGTGTTACCGCTGGAGCGATAGCATAGTGGTAGAGCGTTTGCCTTGCACACAGCCAGCCTGGCCGAGCTGGTTTCTATTCTTCTGCCCCTCTCGGAGAGCACGGCAAGCTAC